TGTGTGTGTGTGTGTGTGTGTGTGTGTGTGTGTGTGTGTGTGTGTGTGTGTTTCACACAAACTAGTACGATACAGGAGGTGAGTTTATCACACCCACAGGATAAGCCACTGCAGTAAGGCCAACTCCAGCTGAGAACCCAGAGTGTTACAACTTAGATTCCTAGATGCAGGCGGTGTACAGCGGAACCGACTCAACCCACGGCCCACGGCCACACCATTGTCAGTGCGCAGTGTCAACTGTGATGAAAAGGAAATCACCCACCGTTTAGAGACAGTTGTTTTGTTGGGTGGGTGGGGGTGGGGTGTAAGTTTAGTTTTACGGCCACTTGCAACACAATAAGTCATAAATATAAGCGCCTGAAGATTAGAGGTGTTACAAGAGAGTAACAAACACAAAAAAGAAGGGGGGAGATACGGACAAAAAACGTTTGTTTGACAGAAAAGCAGGAGCAAACCACACCAGAGCACCCGCCAACCACTCACGGGGGGATGATTGAGGTGGAAGGATGATAGAGGGGGAATGAGGAAAGGGTAGCGAAAGAGGAGGGGAGGGAGCTGCACACCGCCGGAGATTAGAGGTGTTAGTTACTAAGCAGTAAAAATACACAGAAAAGTAGAGATTAAAAAGGAAGACGGACGTTTGATAGGACAGGGAAGAAGCAAACCACACAGGGGCGCCTGCCAACCACCTACAACAAAAGTTCAAGTATGTGATAATATAAGAAACACTGGAAAAACAGGAAAAAGAGAAGAACCCCCACAAAGACACCCACCACGGGTCATGACCAGAAGATCCAGACCCAAGTTTTTGATTTTCAGTGGTTCAAATCCATAAATAGAATGATTGCAGGCGCAAAAAAAAAAAAAAAAAAATCAATCCACACAAGTTAACTTAGGAGGCTGGCTGCAACAAGTCTACTGGTCCCAGTTACTTTGCGACAGACGGGACATGATAAAAATGGAATTTTCACGTTCTTTTACAAAGTTTTTTGGTACAAATTAGGGATACCATTGCTCGATCGAAAACTTTCAGGGGGGGGGGGGTTCTTGGCAAGTTTTAAGGTGCTCACAACAGCATACCGTCATACCAGCGCTTAAAGGTGAGCGCGATAAACAAAACACACAAAAAAAACTATATTGAATCAAACATTTTTATTTTGGAAAATTTAACAGTATCGCTACAGTGAGGACGTGAGGGATATCACAGTTGAGAATAGGACACAAGCACACACACATGGGAAAAAGAAAACTGAAAAGGATTAAATTCCCGTCCTTTTTTTGGTGGTTTCGTGTTGGGTTTTTTTGCGGGGGGGGGGGGACAAGAAAAAATAGGCAAGAAAGAAAGATGGGGGTCGTCACTACGTGAAAAGGCTGCAAAACAGCCAGGAGGGCCCTCGCATAACATCAGTTTCAACAAGGGGCACACACAGAGAGAGCAAGAGACGATGAATTATACCGGTGAACATTGTCTTAGTCGCCGTGCGATAACCGCCAACTGGCAGCCCCACCGGCCTATCGCGCAGAGGACCCCAGGGCGGCCCGTGTCCGCCTTTCGCCGACAGAACTCCCGGAGAAGATAAAGGCGTGGAGATATAGCGCCGAGTAAACATTCGGTTTGTCGTCGTCGCTGCACAAGTGTCGAGGGCAGTCAGCCTTCTCTTCCTTCCTTCCCTTCGCCCCGGCGTGTGTGCGTGTTTGTGTGTGTGTGTGTGTGTAAGTGGTGTGTGCGCGTGTGCGTGTGTGTGTGTGTAAGTGGTGTGTGCGCGTGTTCATGTGTGCACGCACGGGTATGTTTATGTGTGTGCGTGTATAGGTGTGTGTGTGTGTGTATAGCCGCTCCGTCTTACTTTCTCTCTACAGCTATGCGCATACACGTGAGTGTGCGCGTATGTGTACAAATAAATATGTGTGTGTGTGTGTGTGTGTGTGTGTGTGTGTGTGTGTGTGTGTGTGTGTGCGCGCCTACCTGCATACATAAATACACGTATGTGTGTGCGTGTGTATGTGCGTGCGTGCATACACGACATGAGCTTCGTCTTAAAGTCTAACGTCACCTCACACACAAAACTGAGAGGGGCCTTTGACAAATTGAGATTGATAAAGCGAAGAGAAAGGAAGTTGACTGTTTTGTTCGAGTTTCAGGGGGGGGGGGTTTGTTGGCTTTTTTTAAACGTCGCCACTTCAACCAACGATCCGACAGACTGCCCCTTACTGTAAGAATAGCATTAATAACAATACTCAGTAAAGAAGCCCACACTTAATTATCATAGCAAAAAGTAAACATGTTTAGGGGAAACTTATACGGACCGACCGTCGCGTCATACACACACCCCTCTCTTCCGGGCTTCCCCCAACATCAAATAAATAACCAAATGACAATGCATCAAACAATGAATTGAGCCCACAATTTGTAGAATACTACAACGGATCATGATTCAAACCACATCAGAAAGAGACTGTTGCACACTCAGAGGTCTCCAGAAAAAAAGACAGCAAAAGGCCAACCCAGATTGAGCCACATTTTCCCTTTTTCCACGACTTGGTTATAACCAACAACAGCCCTATTAGATCAGAAAAAAGGCAAAGCTGAAAAGAAGTAGAAGGAGCAGACCACGGCAAAGATGCCGAGTAACCACCACCTCCCGTTTGAGTGGTCAGCCTCCTACCCTGTGCAGCTGAAAGGAATGTACTCACCATTTTCACATCTTGATTGTCGTCCTGTTTATTCGACTGAAAGAAAACAAGAAAAAACAAGTTTTACCACAAGGACTAGCAACTTCAGGGGACTTCTTCCATTTTGAAAAAAAGTGTCAAGCTTGTATTTCGTCAATCGGGTTAAAACAAAAGAGATGATGGTGTTATTCAATGATGAGATAGGAGAAGCGAGTCTGTTGATATTGTTAGAAACTATGAGGAAGGAGGTAAAAAATTTGGGCACACAAGACACGACAACATCAACAAATATCGCGACATATTGAGAAAGCAGGTCACCACTCAGGGTAACCTTTGACAAAAGTGGGATTTCTCTTAGTCTCTTTAGCATTGTACAGTTCACTATTCTTGGAGACTGATTTTTTACCCATTTGAATTCTACAAGTCGATCATGGAGACACTTTTCATTTATCTAATGCACAACCACTCTTTGTGAACGTGATTTTTAAGTGCCACAGTTCCTAGGAATTCCAAGGTCTAAACTTAAACACGTTATGTCTTAAAATGGCTAGTCCAGCTGTGCAGAAGCGTCTTAGCATACAGCTAGTTGTAGCACGTCACTCACAAGGAATGAAAGAATTTTTAAAGTAAAGTGTCATAAGTGATGAAACTCAACCTTAATTTCTTAAAAGTACAAAACAGGCCCAGAGGCCTAAATATATAAGTCCCTATCCCAAAACTAAAAACAAAAACTGTAAAAGACAACCAAAACGCCTGGAACATTATAGTCATTCTGAAATCCCATTCTATATGTAAAAAGTGACACGGGGGGGGGGGGGAGAGACTAATCAGGTACACCGTTGTAACTAGTCTGTGACATCAGTTTAATCAAGAGAGAAAAAAAATTACCCCCATCTCTCTGCAGAAAACGCAAATACATTATAACAATACTGTAGTACGCGTAAACCTAATGAAATACAAAACCAAAGAAAAATTAAAACCACCCCTGCCCGTCACATAACATCTACAGAGATGCATAAAATGACGACCGAAGTATCACTTTCGAAATACAATGTTGCATGTGTACCACTGTCTGCAGGAAACACCCACGGCGTAGCGCCCCCCCCCCCCCCTCCCGGATGTTTTCATCCAACACGGAAAACGGAAACGACAGGCAAACGATCAATGTCTGCACTAACTGGCAGACAGATGTAACGCCATGTACATGGTATGTTCGGGGTCTCCCGACAGAATGAACACGGGTTATATAGTTAGCCTAGGTTAATCAGACAAAAGATGGCGCCTTTCGGCTATTTCCGACACTTCCGGTGTCAAATCGTCGATCTACTCTGTGAAAACCAATTAAAACTGGCTCAACAGAAAAATATTTTCAGATCAGGAGAAATCAAAAACCAGTGTCTAATCTTATGTAAAAAGATACGGTTCTACTAACGTTGAATGCAACGATGTTTTGAGAACTGACCCATAATACCGATTACGGGTCCAGAATACACATAAACTCTTCTTTCTGGAAAACCAAAGTAGATCTATTTGTAGAAACCGCAAATCTTTATTTTTTTTAAATGTCTAATGTAGTGTGAACAACTATCAATACTTTAGTGCTCTTTTTATCGGTTAGTTTTACGGCGCTCGCAAATGCATAAGGACATAATATTATGAGGGTGTAGGACACAGGCTGGGCCGCTGGTTGTTTTCTTAATTAAGCTTTTACCGTTTTGGTAGGAATTAACTTTGAATTTTGCCAGGGTGGCGGTCAAATCCTAGTCTTATCGACCGATTTTAGGACTACCAAGGAATCTTCAACACGTACAAATTGCACACGGGACCTCTGGGATTTTTTAGCTCTTCCGAGAAAGCTAAGGGTTCGACCTCACATACCCTCAGATCAGGGGTGTGACATAAAGACAGCAGGAAGGAGCCAGAGGTAGAAGTAGAATAAGTCATGAGACCTGACGAGAAAGAGGGGCGGGACGGCAGAAATTTGAGATGAAAGCAGATAAAAAAATACATGACTAGAATAGAGAGCAGTAAAGGAGGTGAAAGGAGAACATTTTTTTCGTCTATCAGGTTTAGAACCTAGGACTATTGAATAAGAGGACCAACAGTACACCGTACCTCTAGACCACAAGAGCCCCTTTTTCGCCCTTAACAAAATTATGGTACAGAGAGGGCATAAACACAACCAGTTTTAGGACAGCTGGAGTGAGTAGCACACGGACACAATAACAATCATACAATTTTTTTAGTTTTAGGCAGTTTTTACAGCACTTGCAAAATAATACGGCCATAAGTGACGAATATTAGAGGTATCACACGAGGAGTAACAAACACAAAAAAAGGATAAGAGATATTTGATAGGAAAGAAAGAACAAACAACACCAGAGCGCCCTCCAACAACCTGCATAAAGAATTAATATAGAAAAAAAAATTCAAAAACAGAAATAACAGAGGTCCAATTCAGAAATAAAACTTTTCAGCAAGACTCCAGCCACCCTCATAAACAAAACAAAACAAAATGCAATCACATTTTATTATCTCTTTCATTTATGCCAAAAGGGGACTTCATAACACTACAGTTCAACAGAACATAAAAGGGGAGAAAAAAAGTCAGGGTGGGTGCAAGTAAAGGTAAAGGGATGATGACACAGTCAAATCTGCCCCAACATCCACCTATCTGAGACAATCGCCCTAACAACATACCAACTACTTCCCACTTCCATTTTAAAAAACTATCATAATGACTCCGTTCAAGATGTCAACCTGTCTAAGACAATCACTCTTCTCCTCAACAATGGGTGGCTGTCTTAGACAATTTCGACTGTATTCTCTATCTTTCAGATGATATGAGGTTCCAAACTTGAAAAGTAAGATTCCACGAAACGCCACCAATAAATGTGACTGCCACTCTTCAAACTTTTCCCCGCTCTAGATCTAGCATTCGTTTTTGTTCTGGTATGTGTCTTACGACGACGCTGGCAACTGTATAAGGTTATATATGAGTACGCGTCAGTAGTCTTCAAACTTGAGAGAGAAGAAAGCGAACTATTTGAAACTCACATGAGTGGATCCATGATCAGAGGAGACGGAAGGGGCTGGGGACGGCTGCTTGGGCGAGTTGGAGACCATGTTCTGCATTTGCTGCAGCTGTGACTGCTGCGGTGTCAAGGGCCTTGCAGCCGGGGAGACGGGCGGGCCGGGGGGCTGTTGGGACGGGGGCATGTACATTTGGGGCTGGGTCGGGTACATCTGGTTGGACATCTGTAAAGCACAGAGAACAGAGGGGAGGCGGTGAGTCAAGCTGCGATAACGGACAGTGTGAGTCTACACATTAACCGTCATCATGTATGGGCAGGGATTAAATCACAGGGGGAGGGAGGAAGGAGAAAAATTAAGATCTACAAGTGGCTACATTAGAATTACTAAGATCTATCTGACATTTCTGGCCATTTTGAATTTTGAGTTATTAAGACCAAGAGGTCAGAAACTAAAATGTTCTACCTGCTCTATCAAAATGGTAAAATTATCCAGAGCCATTATGAAGATAATCAAAGTATTGCATTTGAAAAAGCTCGACATACTGTGAAACTCAATATCGTGAACGTAAAATTTCTCAAAACTAGGAACTTGGAAGATACAACTTAGTAATTCTAGTATTTCTAGGGTAGCAAAGCGCTGCCCTAAAACCACCAAGCCACATTTCACCAGGAAAAAGAAATGGGAACAGAGCCACTGAAATTTGTACAAACTCAGAAATTTAACATTACCTTGACTACTCCATTACAAGGCACATCGTCAATGATCTCTTTACCCCTACAAATCAAACCGTTGCAATATGGCATCAGTGATAGAACGCCATTCTAGATGCGACTATTTCATAAGACAACAAAGTCCGCAATATTTATATAAGACTTTAATATTATTTTTCATAAAATTCTTCTACCTGTCCACAGCAAAGGGGAAAACTAATTTACTTAAAACTATACTGATAAAGAGAAAGGAGATACCAATGAGACAAAAGCTCCAGATGGCCCCATGGACAAAATCAAAAAAGAATTCACTATTCACTATCAGATCAGAGGATCTAGGTTTTCTTGAACAAGTGTCTGAGAACGCTACTCCGGAACAGATGGACAGACATGGTCACCTATGAGGTAGGGTTAAGGGGGACAAAACAGAGCCCAGCCAGAGGCGTGTGGGAAGAAGGCAGAGTGATGGATTGGAGATACTCAAGAAGCCAGGCAGAGGCATAACAAAGAAAGTGTTGGATTGGAATCCAGAGTAAGAGATCCAGTGGAAGGCCATGTGGAACCTGGAGAACAGTCATTGAGAATGATGTACAGGAAAGTGGGACGACATGGAATAATATCAAGAGACTAGCCCAAAATCGGGAAAGGTGGAAAGCGTTTGTTCATGGTCTACACCCTGATGCAGGGTGAGGAAAGCACTGATGCTGACCCAACCTACACAAACTACATACATTACTAGGACCACGTAAAACTAATCAAAGACACTACGGAGGAAGAGGGGACCGACAACTTTGGTGAAACTCAACTCATGAACGATTAAAGTCACATGCGGCCTGATAATCTGACTAAATCACAAAAAAGTTGCACGAGAGCCTCAACAACATAAGAAAAAGAGGCTTTTCTGCAACCATTTCTTGTGAATGAAGCACAGCTCAAAAACTAACCTGTCCACCACCCATCATGAAGCGCTGGGGGCCGGGCCCTGGACCCATGGCAGGCATCTGCTGACCCATGTACTGGCCACCTTGCTGTGGGTAGCCTCCGCCCATGGCCCCCATTGCAGGCCGGCGGCCCTGGCTCATGTCGCTGCTGCCGCCAGACTGAAAAACCAAAACCAAAAAGAAATGTCACTCGTCACCACGTGAGAACCACAGAAAACAACGGGGATAGTGGACTATTACACAATCTATAAAAAAAAATTACCAACAAAGAATGAGAATTACAGAAGCAGTTACATCACACTTCCCATCAACAGTTGTAACAAAGAAATTTTATCTGCACCTTCTTTTTATTTATTGAACACATTAAAATATAATATTTCCACATGTGTTAAACATTCTAAAAGACAAAAAAAAAAAGGGAAAAGATTCAAGAATGAACGAGAACCTGATCCTGAAAAACTTTCAGCTATGAAATATCAAATTTTGATCAGAATGGCACTGAGTATTCATCTTTCAATGAGGAGAGTGGACCCCCCCCCCCCCCCTAAAAAACAGAGAGAGAGAGAGAGAGAGAGAGAGAGAGAGAGAGAGAGAGAGAGAGAGAGAGAGAGAGAGAGAGAGAGAGAGAGAGAGAGAGAGAGAGAGAGAGAGAGAGAGAGAGAGACAGAGACAGAGACAGAGACAGAGACAGAGAGACAGACAGACAGAGAGAGAGAGAGAGAGAGAGAGAGAGAGAGAGAGAGAGAGAGAGAGAGAGAGAGAGAGAGAGAGAGAGAGGATAAATGAACCGTGCATTTTGAATCTTATGCTCCGGAGGCTTTGGCTTTTAAAAAATATTTTAGATACTTTTCAAGAGCCCTGCTTAAACAACACGCAATAATTAAAAATATGCTTATCAAGATAAATGTTGTAACATCTGAAATATTTCTTTAAACAAAATTACAATCATGAGCATAAATAATATCATAAACCAATCAACCAAACAGAACTTGTTAATAAAAAAAAATGTCACACTTTTGAAAAACCAAACAATAGTAACTTCCAACTGCATGCTCAAAGACCATATTTATTTGCACACACCTGCCTACAATTTATTGTGCATACAAGCACAAAGAACAAAATATACACTTGCAATCTGTGGTCAATAAACTTCCACTAGCACAATAGTGTAACAGATAGCATGCACCTAGTAATAACAAGCACACACTAAAATCTAATGTCCATAATCTAAGCTACATGGTGATTTATAGAGCATGTACATATACATGCAAATGAAAAGAACACACAACTGAAACTTTGCAACACTTGCCATTCGCATCTGACATCAAGAGACAGCAAGTGCCTGTACAATAACTTTAACCTTGATATCACACATCCCGAAGAATCTGAAGCTCTAATCAGTCAAAGGAGGTTGCATTTATGGATTTCACAGAAACATTGAATATCTTTTCTTTGTGAAGCCTCACTAGACCAGACCCTTTTTAAGCGGATAAAAGGATAAAAAGAGCAGAGCACTCATCAATTGTGTGCAAAGTGGTCGGTGAAAAGTACGTCTGGGATATAACTAGCCGAGAGACAACAATTTATTAACTGCATTGCCCTTGGAAAAACGATTTTTATGAGAAGATAGGAGAACAAAGAACATTTTTGCAACAGCCCCATTAGAATTGTACAAACTGAGGACTACAGAAAATAACGATCTCAAACATAGTAAATAAGGGTGACGGCAGCGAACAAAACATAATACCATGCAATCAGACTTAAGATCTGAAAATGTAAAAAACTAACTACATGTAGTTTTTAAAAGGTCAATTTCCCACTGAAGGATAATGACCCGAGTTATTAAGTAACTAGCTTTTCTTTAGCATATAGTAAACAATAAACAAACATAAGCAAGGCAGACGGAAAGAGTTTAACAACAACCACAAACTTCTGTGTACCCTGAATCATTGTCAATCCCCAATGAATTCAGCTATTTAGTTTTCCCAGTCTCCATTATAAATCCAGAACGAATTTCTCCCATAAAAACAGAACAAACATGATACAGAACAAATATTCACAAGAATCGGTCACTTGTTTCATTTTTTTTTTAATAAAAAAATTAACCTGCAATTCTGTCAGACTTTAGTAAGACATTTCTACGTAAAAACCTAGAGCTCCAAATAATGTCCGCCACATTGCTAGGAAAGCAGGTGCAGCAAAACCAAAAACTGTAGTCTGCTACTGTAATCCAGAGAAAAATTGCTCACTCTTGCAGTTCGGAAAATGTCAACCATAAAACAAATTTAGATAAAGTGCCTCATCACAAGCATGATGGGATTTAATAGCAGAAATAACAACATTATTATCATTATGTCAACAAAGTGGCCGGGACAGTAAAAAAAATTACTACAAAAAGAAAAAGGAAGTGAACTGTGCATGAAGAACTAAAAAAGAGAGCAATACAAACACTACATGACTACGTGTTCTCAACCTTAGAAACAGTCATATCACCAGGTCTCTTCTTGGAACCCGCAACACTAATAACACCAACAAAAACAAACAAACAAAACAAACTTTTTAAAAAAATTCACAAATTTGAGCCTGGGTGTTCCCAAGGGGAAAAACACGCCATCTTTCAACTATCTCCAGTTAGTGAAAACACACGACCTTTACTACTCTCCAACGAGAGAGAGAGAGAGAGAGAGAGAGAGAGAGAGAGAGAGAGAGAGAGAGAGAAAAAAATAACTTCCTTGAATACACAAGTCTACACACTGATTAAGTAAATCAAAGATTTGCCACCAACAAAAGCGTCTCGCATTATCCCCCCTCAACAGATCAGCCTTGTCGCTGTTATTATGTAAATTTGATGGAGTACCCCCCTCCCCCCTACTCTTTACATTCTCCGAGTTCCCATTCATTCTTCTTCACTTGCTGCCAAGCCCGCAATAACTTACAACGGTGAAGTTAAAAAAAAAAAAAAAAAAAAGAAGGAAAGAAAGAAAAGCCACACGCACACACACACACACACACAGCGGGAGTAAAAATCAAGGCCACGAGTTGACCTCATTGTAAAAGAGGTAAAAAGGGGAGAGAAAAGAAGAGACGAGGGGAGGGGAAAAAAAACAAAAAAACCCACATCGAGATGGGAGAAAAATGCCAAGAGGTTAACACGTGCACATTCTAGGACTGCACTTTTGTTCTATTTATCGCACCACGCGCCGGATTGAAAGGGGAAAGAAAAACCTCACACGCAGCCGGCAAAACAGACATTTCTAAGACGGGGGGGGGGGGGGGGGGGGGGGGTAACAAAAGTTAATGTTTGCTTTGACGGGCTCCCTGTGAGATCAAGTAGTGTTTGCCTGCCGATGGGAATCCATCCTTCCATCCTCGCAAAGATTTCATTTTAATCTCGTGATGGAAATCGGGAGGGTGAGGGGGGGGGGGGGGACGGACATCTTCCTGACATTGAAAACGGAAAACCCGTGAGCAGAAAGAGAAATGACCGACAGGCCTGCTTCATTCACATTAGACATTAGAAACCACACACATACACCATAACAAGCCAATAATAAGTACCGGGAAAAGGTAGACGGCCAGACAGACAGAAACAAAGGGGGAAATAAATGTTTCAGGTCCTACCGGCGCTGCCCTCCAACCACTCCCAACAGCAATTTAAATTTAGTAATGCACCAAGAAAAGTGAAAGGCCAACAGTTTTAGTTTTAAAGCACTCGCAAACCAGTCAGGTCATATAAAGGCCGAAGATTTAGAGGAACCACAAGATAGTAACATACAAAGAAAAGAAAGAGATGGGATATTGACGACAGACATTTACTTTAACGGGAAAGAAGTAACAGTAAACTACACTAGAGCAGCAACCAACGCACCTATAGAACGGACCTACGGAGAAACTTGTTTTTTCTTCTCATCGGTTTTTTAAAACTATTTATTTATTTTGTAAATTAAAGAGCAGCACATCAACACAATATTGGTCATTTAGTACAGGGGTAAAGTAAGTCAGACAGACAGAAACAACAACAGAGGGAACGTAACGAAGTAGGACCAACCAACAGCGCCTTCCAACCACCCGGAAACGGAGAAACGAACCTAGGAATGGGTAACAAATTAGAAAAAGGGACGGGGTGAGAAAGAAAAAGAGGGAGGGAGAGCGAGAGGAGGAGGGAAAGAGGAGAAAGGGAGGAGAGAAGGAGGGAAGAGTTAGAAGGGGGAGGGGAAAGAGAGAGAGAGTAAGGGAAGGAGGGGAGAAAAAGAGAAAGAGAAGGGGGGCAGAGAGAGAGAGAGAGAGAGAGAGAGAGAAAGAGAGAGAGAGAGAGAGAGAGAGAGAGAGAGAGAGAGAGAGAGAGAAGAGAAAGAGAGAGAGACACCAAACAACAACACACACAGTCCTTCCTCAGCAGCATACTGTGAAGGGAACGGTAATGTGCTAAAGATAAGCACGCTGGCACAATGGCACTCAGCGCAGTGACGCAAATGTCAAAAAAACATAAGAGGATAGATTACAGTCACAAAGATAGTGAGGACGTACAGAATATAGCACAGTCTGCCTGCGACCAAAGACTTGCCACAGCAATGTCCTGAGCTCGGGTCTATTTTTAGCGCTCTAGTAACACCAACAAAAAAGTTAAACAAAAATAAAACAGCACGCCCCTCGGTACTTGTGCTGTAAAACTCTAATTTTTTAAAAAAATGAATAAATAAAAACAGTGACCTATTATTTCGCACAGTTCCCAAAACAGTAGCAATGGGGGGAAACAAAGAAAAAAGAACAACCCGTGACCTGCTTCTTGGCTTAATTTACAAAACTACACCCATAACCCCCACCTTTGTTAACAATCTTTGAAAATTCCAAAGTACCGTGCCCATACTCATGAAGTCCCGGTAACATAAGCCATTCTTAAGTTATCGAATGGCGAGTTCTCGAGTAAGAAATCGACGAGTCACAAACAACACGCTCTATAAATAAATACATTAGCAGTCCCCAGTGTCAGATGTCTGGGCTGCCGCTGAAGACGCAGTCAACAAAAGGTCGTTCTAATATGTTGAAGAAAAAGAACAACGTGGGAGGGGGGGGGGGAGAGAAGAGTACAATCTGATGAAATAGCAAACAAAATTGATCTAGATCTAGGTCTTTAAAAAAAATAGAGCCCTATTAATAAT